AACCCTAAAGCTAAAAAAATTCTCAGCAAAGTGGCAGGTTACAAAATTAACATACCAAAATCAGCAGACTTCCTATATGCCAAAGACAAACATAATGAGAAGGAAATCAGGGAAATAATCTAATTTCCAATAGCCTTAATTTTTTTTTTAAAGGAGGGGAAGGGTGATAGAGAGAGATGGTTCAGTGGTTCAGAGTACTGGCTGTTCTTGCAGTCAACCTGGATTCAGTTCCCAGCATCCACTTGGAGGCTAACAAACATCCATAACTCCAAGTCTAGGGAATCTGACACTGTTCTGGCTTCTACACTGCACACAAATTTGGTACACTTACATACATGCAGGCAAAAGACTCATACACACTGAAGAAATTGAAGACATCAGAAGATGGAAAGACTTCCCATACTAATGGATCAGTAGGATTAATATTGTGAAAAATGGCCATTCTATCAAAAGCAATCTACATGACCAATGCAACCCATTAAAATTCCAATGCAATTATTAACAGAAATAGAATCTTAAAATCTGTATAGAGTAACAAAATTCCCAAGATAGCAACAAGAACAAAATAATCCTGAACAAAGACAAAACACTGTTGGAGGTATCACCACCCCTGATTTCAAGTTATACTATGGAGCCATATCCATAAAAACAAGATGGTACTGGAACAGAACCAGACAATAAAACTGAGGATCCATACACAAATCCACACAACTAGACATCTAATTTTTAAAAATATTCCAAAAATACACATTTGGGAAAACACAAAAAATGGTGATGGAAAAACTGGATACAGGCGGAATAAAACTTGATCCTTATCATTCACTCTGCACAAAAATCAATTTCAAATGGTCTAACCTCAATGTTAGACCTGAAACTTTGAAACTTCTAAAACACAAAGTAGGGAGTACACTTAAACATGTAAACACTGGGAAGGATGCTGAATGGGGTTCCAGTTGCTCAGGAAATAAGGTCAACAACTGATGAGTGTTACCTCATGAAGTTAAAAAGCTTCTGTGCTGCAAAGGAAACTGTCGAGTGAAAAGGTGGCCTACGAAGTAAGAGAAAAAATCTCAGGGTGTGCCGTCTGGCAGAGGGTTAGTGTCTAGAAAATAAAAGCAAACAATCCAATTTAAAATCTCTGGAACTTAACAGAATTTTTAAAAAATATTTTTATTTTTTGTGTATATTGCCTGCATATATGTAAGTGCACCCATGTCATGCAATGCCCACAGAGGTCAGAAGAGGGCATTGGATCCCCTGGAACTGGAGCTATGAATGGTTGTTACCCATCATGCAGGTGCTGGGTATCAAACCCAAGTCCTCTGCAAAAGTAGCCAGTAGTCTTTTCTAGAAAAAAAAAAAAAAAGTACTACTTTTATTTTACATGTATGAGTATACTGGCTGCATGTGTAAGTGCATCCATGTCATGCAATGGTCGAAGAGGTCAGTAGTAGTCATTGGATCCCCTGGAACTGGAGTTACAGATGGTTGTTAGCTACTATATGGGTACTGGATATCGAACCTGGGTCCTCTGCAAGAGCAGTCAGTGCTCTTAACCACTGATCGCTCTCTCCAGCCCTGGAACTTAACAGAATTCTTTTAAAAAAATTTTTTTTTAATTTTATTATTTTCATTTTATGTGTATGCATGTATTGCCTGCATGTAGGTAAGTGCACCCATGTCGTGCAATGCCTGCAGAGGTCAGAAGAGGCTGTCGGATCCCCTGGGACTGAAGTTATGGACAGTTGTTAGCTGCCATGTGGGTGCTGGGATTTGAACCCAGGTCTTCTGCAAGAACAACCAGTGTTCTTAACTGCTGAGCCATCTCTCCATCCCCTTAACAGATTTCTTAAAGAAAAACAAATAGGTAAGGAAAATCTAAGTGTTCGACATCCTTAGCCATTAAGGAAATGCAAATTAAAAATACTTTGTGATTTCATCTTTCACCAGTCACAATGGTTAAAATTAAGAAAACAAATGATGGGGCTGGAGAGATGCCTCGGCAGTTAGGAGCACTGGCTGTTCTTACAGAAGATCCAGGTTCAAATCCCAATAGCTAACAACTGTCTGTAACTCGTTCCAGGGGATCCAATGACCTCTCTGGCCACCATGGGCACTGCAGGACAAGGGTGCACTTACATACAAGCAGGCAATACATCCATACACATAAAGTAAAAACAAATTTAAAATTAAAAACAAATGATAAACACTATCAGTGATGTAGAGATAGAAGAATCTGGAACCACTTTTGGCAGGAATGCAGACATATACACACTACGGAAATTGGTGTGGAGGTTCTTCAAAAAGCTAGAAGAAAAACTGCCATATGACCCAGAAATACCACTCTTAAGTCTATACCCAAAGGACTCCACACCATAAAACAGATATATGGGGCTGGAGAGACCGCTCAGTGGTTAGGAGCATTGGCTGCTCTTGGAAAGGACCCAGGTTCAGTTCCCAGTACCACATGGCAGTTAATACCCACCTGTAACTCTAGTACCAGGGGATCCAATGCCCTCTTTTGATCTGAGGGCATTGCATGACACGGATGCATTTATATACATGTAGGCAATACACTCATACACATAAAAATATGAAAAAAAGACATCTGTACTTCCACATTCAAGGAAGAAAATGGAACTAGCTTATGAATGGATAATGAAAATGTGGTACATATACAGTGTAATTTTATTCAGGGGCAAAGAACGAAATTACAAAATTGGTAGAAAAATGGACGGATCTGGAAAATATGCTGAGGTAGCCCAGGCCCCCAAAGACAAACACCTAACGTTCTCTCTTACATTCCACACATTTTTATAGTAGTGTGCTCAACATTTTATGTTGGAAAAGGCCAGTAAGATACAAAGGGACCATTAGAGGGAGTGAGGGGATTTAGAACACAGACATGAAGTGGAGGTGGAGGGAAATACTAGAAGTAGCCAAGTCTAAGCAAGGAGAGGGGCGGGAGAATAGGGAAAAGGAACCAAATTTGGGGATATATGAAAATGCCATAGAAACCTAATGTTGTATGAGCTTGTTTACACTATAACCTAAGGCTGGAGATGGCTCAGCAGTGAAGAGCACTGGCTGCTCTTGTAGATGACCCATTCAATTCCCAGCACCCACATGGTGGCTGGCCAACAACCATCAGTAACTCCAGCTCCAGAGGATCCAGTGCCCTCTTCTGACCTCCATGGGCACTACATGATATGAGTGCACCTACCTACATGCAAGCAACACTCATACACATTGAAAAAAAAAACAAACTAAAACTAAAAGGTTTAAATGAAGGTACTTTCTATGGATGAATATTTCTCCCAGAAGCCATGGGTTGTTAAAATGAGAATTCTAGTGCCAAATTTGGGACACCTCCCTACTAGGTGTTAGCCAGCAAGGCCAGAGGTCCCCCTAAAATACAATCTATTGCCACTGCTCTTGGTTACCTACCAGAACTTGACAGTAAAACCTTATTGCTGAAGATACTGCACTTTGATCAAAGGACATACAGAAATCAACTTGAAGCTTAAGCTGGAGCTAGATGATTTATCCCTATCATCAAGCCTTCATAGTACTAGAGTGATTATACAGAACGCTGGGAGTGAATATTCATCTCTTTTAGCTACAATAATGAGCAGTCAGGCAAGATGTGTCTTGTAGCAAAACAGTGGAATGACCGTTGAGGCTGACCAACCCATTTCTGATCAGGCTTGAGGCCACCTCCACAGGATGGAACTCATGCCTAGTTCTTTAAACTTGGTCAAGTCTGTGGCTTAGGAAGTCATAGGTCCTAGAGGAAAAATTATTAGTTTTGATAAATGATCATGTTGTGAAAGTGCTTTGCAAATACATTCATACCCAGAATGGTGATGCATCTAGCCTTCATCACAGATATCTCTTACTGTATCAGGCAGAGGCTAGCTTAGCAATCTATAACTGGTCACAGAGCCATGATTAAGTGGTGGTGGGAGTGCTGGGCCCTAAATCGGTCAGTTGTATCATCCTCTCCTCTCCAGGTCCACGGAAAATTGAAGAGGCAAAAAAAAAAAAAAAAAAAAAAAAAATTAGAAGCCAAAGGATGGGGAGAAATGTATATACCAAAAGGTATGTAAGAACTTACTGCACATGTGGCTATCTGCACAAGATTGGGCCCATGAACATTTCATCATGTATGGGGGAGGAAAATACAAAGTCTCACGAGTCCCTGAAGGACTACTGGTAATTTGTAGGTAATTGGTGGGTCTTTTTTTGCCGTGATGTGGCCACAGACAACTTCTTGTGCTCCAGTAAATAATCTCCAACTATGCTTAAAACTGGAATTAAGGGGCTAGCGAGATGGCTCCACTGTTTAAGAGCACTTCCTGCTCTTTCAGAGGACCAGAGTTCGGTTCTCAACACCTACATCAGGCAGCTTACAATCACCTGTAACTCTAGCACCAGGGGATTCAATACCCTCTTCCAGTCTCTGTGGGTACTCACACATACACCTCACAGATATAAACACAAACATAAAAGCAAGAGAGGGATTTAATGATTCCAACAGGAGAGAAAGGGGGATGAAAGAGGGGAATAGGTGTGAAGATGAATAAAATTATATAAATGTACTAAACTTAAAAGGAGCTAGAAAGATGGCTCACTAGTTAAGTACACTTGGTGTTTTTCAGGAGGACCTGAGTTTAGTTTCCAGCACTTACTTCAGGTGGCTCACAACCACCAGCTCTAACTCCAGCTTTGAGGGATCTGATGATTCTGGCCTCTGCAGAAATATACTGGGCTTAAACACATGTGAGCACATACACGTGAGCAGGCATGCACATACACACACAAGCAAATTTTTTAAAAAAGATCAATTAAACTGCAAAAAAAATGTACAAAAATATTACCCGAGGCAGGTACGGTGGCATGTGCATTTAATCCCAGCACCCAAGAGGCACATATATACAGATCTCTGTGAGTTCCAGGCCATCCTGGTCTACATAATCAAGTTTCGGTCCAGCCAGAGCTACACAACAAAATCTTGTCTTTATTTGAACATACATTGAAAAGCACAAAATACAGAATTTATGCAAATGTCATTCAGAAAAATCTCATATTCACATTAAATGTAAGGAAACTGCAAATGAACAGAAACACAAAAGAGCTGTCATAAGGACAGTGAGAAAATACTAACAATTAAGAAGCATCTAGTTTCAATTTTAAATGAACAATTACTGAAAAACTATGTAAAATTAAATCTACTGCATTATTATAAATGCATCTCAATTCCATGAATCAAACACAGTTCAATAGTAAGAAGTATTAGCTCACTTAATTTAAACAATAAACCATACCTACTAAACTGAAAGTGATTTACCAAGTTTATAAACTCAATTCATCTCAATTCAAATGTTTTTCTATGGTTGCTATTGTTGGTGAGTCTTGGTGGCATCAGCTTTTCAAGCAGCAGGGAATACAGGCAAGCAAAACCATGATAAACATTATTTATCAAGTCATCATTTCAAAACTATAAAAAACAATGCAGAGTAAAGGTCTTGTGTAAGAATGGACCAATGACAAAAATACTCATAGTTTTACTATATTTCTTTCAGGTTATTTTCAGAAATATTCTACACAAATAAATTTGCTAAAAGTGTTCACATTTCTTGCTCTTACAAGATTAAACTACGTTATTTCATAACTTTTACTTTATTTGAAAAAAAACCAGCTTTCTCATACCTATTTTATACATTTTTCTAAGGTTTTTATTTTTATATGTGTGTGTATACCACATGTGTGTATATGCTTGCAGAGGCCAGAAAAGGACATCAGATTCCCTGGATTTGGAGTTACAGGTGATTGTGAGCCACCTGACATGGATGCTGGGAACTGAATTCAGGTCCTCCAGAAGAGCAAGCACTCTTTTCTGAAGATCCACCTCTCTAGCCCTGCTGTCTTGTATCTGTACAATGAAAATTTCATTTGGTTGGAACTGTTTCTTAAATCTCCCAGGTGATCAAACTCATTCCATTAAATATTGTTTAGTCTGTACCTCCCTCCCACCCCTGCCCAGTAAAAAAGCATGCACTACCAAACCCAGCGCAACAGGTTTTCACCCTATATACACTTGCACATTAGATCTAAAACTACACTTCTGCAGATGTCATATTCTATTTTTATGTAATTATTTTTAAAAATAAATGTTGTGTTTATTTGTGTATACATCTGTGCAAAGGTGTGCATGTGGAAGTCAGAAGTAAACTTAAGGGAATCGATTCTCTACATCCACCATGAGTCCCAGGGATGGAGCTCAAGAGTATCAGGCTTGGCCAACAAGCCATGTCTTTACCCATTAAGCTTTCTCCCAGACTGTCCACACTCTTCTTTCATACCTGACAATAAAAACAAGTTGACCACAGACACTGCCGGTGGACTTCACACTTGTATAAGTTCTACTCATCGCAATTCTTACACTCAGTTCTTTCATGTTTGTAAAGAGATGTGTAACATCTAAATGCTTTCCTACAATGCCTACACACATAAATTTTCTCTCTGGTGTGAATTCTTTCATGTTTAACAAGATAACTGCAATCACTGAATGTTTTCCCACATTTTCTACACATATAGGGTTTCTCTCCAGTGTGAATTCGTTCATGACGGTAACGGGCACTCTGATGGGTGAAAGCTTTTCCACAATGCTTACATATATAAGGTTTCTCTCCAGTATGAGTTCTTTCATGGTTGCGAAGATACATGGAACACTTAAATGCTTTCCCACACTGTTTGCATACATAAGGCTTCTCTCCAGTGTGAGATCTTTCATGACTGTAACAAGCTTTACGTTGAATGAAAGCTTTCCCACAATACTTACAAGCATAGGGTTTCTCGCCAGTGTGAATCTTTTCATGGCTGACAAGATGACTGGAATGAATGAATGCTTTCCCACATTTTTTACATACATAGGGCTTCTCTCCAGTGTGAATTTTTTCATGACTGTAACGGGTACTGGAATGAGTGAAGGCTTTTCCACAGTGCTTACATATATAAGGCTTCTCTCCAGTGTGAGTTCTTTCATGGTTGCGAAGGCATGTAGACCACGTAAATGCTTTCCCGCAATACTTACATACATAGGGTTTTTCTCCAGTGTGAGTTCTTTCATGATTGTAACAAGCATCACGGTGGATGAAGGTTTTGCCACACTGCCTACATGCATACTGTTTCTCTCCGGTGTGAATTCTTTCATGGTTGCGGAGGGATGTGGAACATGTAAATGTTTTCCCACACTGCTTGCAAACATAGGGTTTCTCTTCAGTGTGCATTGTTTCATGTCTGCAACAGGAACTGTGATGGCTGAAGGCTTTTCCACAATGCTTACATGCATAAGGTTTCTCTCCAGTGTGAATTCTTTCATGGACAAGAAGGTGAGATGAACGAATGAATGCTTTGCCACACTGCTTACATACAAAGGGTGCATTTCCACTGTGAATTCTCTGATGTTTTTTAAGGTAGGAGAAATGTCTAAATGCTTTCCCACACTGATTACACACATAACATTCCTCTTGAGAATGAATTCTTTCATGGTAAATAAGCTGACTGAACTCAACGAAGGCTTCTCCACAATGCTTACAGACAAATGGTTTCACTTCAGTGTGTATATTTTCATACATCTGAAAGTAATTACATCCTTTAAAGTCTTTCTCAAATTGATCATATTCATTTTTACTCTCAGTGGGAATTCTCTCATAATTTTGATCAGAAGTGAAATTCCTACAGGCTTCATTAAACTGTTGGTTTTCATAGGGTGTCTCTCTAGGAGGACTTTCATGCTCCTGAAAGGACTCAGAATAAGTAAACTCTTCCCAACATTTCTCCTGTTTAAAAACCTTCACATGTTCCTTATATTCTCCAGTTTCACCTATGAGGCGCACTTCTGAGGGCGAATGACCAGTGTCTCCTGCACAGACATTGTTTTCATATTCTGTTACTGCAGGAGGCATGTCTTCATTAAAAATATGCTCTGGAATCTGGTAGTGCGTTTCTCCATATTGATTACTATGTTCATACTCATAGTCTCTCTCAATTACCTGAATTCTGAAAAAGAAAAAAAAAAAAAAAAAGAACATTACTAGTATTTTTATTTTTTTATGTATGAGTGTTTTGCCTGCAGGTATGTAAGTACACCCATATGATGCAAAGCCCACAGAGGCTAAAAGAGGATGTCAGATCCCCTGGAACTGGAGTCACAGACGGTAGTTAGCCACTATATAGGTACTGGGACTCAAACCTGGGCTCCCTGGAAGAACAGCAAGTGTTCTTTTACTGCTGAACCATCCCTCCAGACCTGAACATTACTAATATTTTATGAGTAGCCAAGAGAAGTGCTGGGAGCTGGGTGTTACGGCCCATTCCTATTATAGCATTTGGGAAGCAGCTGCAGAAGGATACCAACTCTGAGGCTAACCTGGGCCACATAGAAAAACCCTGTTCTAAGAAAAAAATTAAGTGTTAACCTTACCTCTAAAGAATTTATAAACATGAAAGAACTGAATATTATTTTATAAGCCTCCTTTAAAAATATAATCTAAATAAAGCGTATTTAGCCAGATGTGGTGGTGCACACCTTTAATCCCAACACTTGGGAGGCAGAGGCAAGAGAACCTCTGTGAGTTCAAGGCCAACCTGGTCTACATAGTTTTTTTTTTCGGTCTTTTTGAGACAGGGTCTCCCTGTAGCCCCAGCTGTCCTGGAACTCACTATGTAGACCAGGCTGGCCTCGAACTCACAAAAGATCCACCTGCCTCTGCCTCCCAAGTGCTGGGATTAAAGGCATGCGCCACTACCATAGTAAGCCAACTGGAGCTACTGGGAAACCGTCTAAAAAAGAACCCCCTTCAAAAAAGCATATTTGGTTGCAGTTATCCTACACAGGGGTATAATGTTCTTCCCAGAAGCCACAGGTTATTAAACAAAAAGCCAGGTGTGGAATACACCCTTTGATTTGTTGGTCAAGGAGGTCCCAGAGAGCCCCAAAATAATATAAGCTATTACCACAGCTCTTGAATGCCCATCAAAATTGATGGTAAGACCCCTATTTCTGAAGATACTATACACTATGATCATAGGACATGGAGATATCATGCTAGTATTGACCTAGAAGCTTCCTCCCTACAACCTAGCTTTCATAGTGACAGAAGGTACTATTCAGGCTGCTAGGAGAGAAGTCATTAAAAGATGTAATCAGTTGTGCACACTGCAAGCTACAACAATGACCAGACTGACAAGATATGCCAATAGGTGCAATTGTGGAATGAATGTTATGGGGGTGGTAATCAACAGCTCTCCAATTGTATCAAGACTCACTCCACAGTAAGGCACTCTTGACCACAGCACTGTGAACCTACAGCTAGAGAGGTCATAGGCCCTATGGGAGGACCAACTACCCTTAGTTTTTTGCTAAGAAGATATAGCATCAAACTTCCTTCTAAATACTTATCTTTATATCCACAGATTAGTGCAACTCTCCGTCCTCATCAGATAAGCTTCTTTTTGCAGTAGATGGTGGTTAATACAGAGTCTCACAACTGGTTAATGATCAGAGAATAAGTGACTGTGGGGTACTCAGTCCTAAATGGGATATCTGTATCACATTCCTGATCTCTTTCAGGGAACATCATGGAAGAGATGATAGAAAAACTCTAAGACACAAAAGTTAGGAGACAGATGCAAATCTATGTCTTCTGGGCATGACAGGGCCATTGCATTATGAACGCACAGCAGCTGTGATTACCTGCACAACATTTGTACAAAACCAAGCCAGTCAACATGCCAAGGTAGATGGGAGAGGGGCCCATGAGGCCCCATCCCTCCTAAGGAGTAATGGCCGTTGGGTGAGAGGCATTTTTCTTCATAAGCATGGACTATTGTAGGTTGCCCATGCTCCAGTAGAAGGTCCTGAACTCACATGTACACAGGCAGCACTAATTGGACTTAGTGAGTTATAAAAATATATAATTATATACAAATAAATTACAAATTTCTTAAAGACATAAAGTTAGGAGGGAGTTGTAGAGGGAGAGTTCTGGAAGAGATGAAGAAGGAAGCAGCTATAATAAATTACATTATATACAGGTATGAATAAATTTTAAAAAACATTGTTATCAGTTAGTAAAGTTGACTATTAACCTATGCAAAGGTATTGTAGATCAAGCACCATGGAATTTGAAATAGCTGAATATCCTTCATGAAATTTACTGAAGCTAGACCTCAATTTAAAACTGAAATGCACTGTATTTCATATACAGACCTTACATTCAAAGCCTAGAGGTAACTTAATAAAAATATATTAAGCCCAGGATGGTGGTGCATGCCTTTAATCTCAGTACACATGAGACAGAAGTAGGTTGATCTCTCTGAATTCAAGACCAGCCTGGTCTATATAGCAAGTTTCAGGTCAGCCAGGTTACATAGTGAGACCCTATCTTTTTCAAAACAAACAAAAACAAAATCAAAAATATATTAAATACTTTTGTGCATGAAGAACAGTTTATGTATAATGAGTCACTGGGAAGTGTCATATAACTTAGTACTGCATCACATTTTAGCAGTATTCAGAGATTACAGAGATAGGAGCCTCCATGATTCAGAATATACAAGCTCAATGCAGTTTTACATTCGTGGCTGACTCAATTTATATTTAAATGTATTTGGGTCATTTGTTTGATTCTCAGATTTCCTAAAACTTGCAAACATTTGATGTAAATTCCCTTATCTTAGAGTGTAAGTTACCGCAGACTTTGGTAGTCCTCTTCAATGTTTTCTTCTTCTTCTGTTTTCCCTAAAAGTAAACCCAAAGAAATCATTAGGATTAATCATTCAAATTAGATTATACTTACTACATTCTTTATTTATACTATAATGTAACCAGGAATGCTACATTTATCATGTCTCTTTCAATCCATGTGACTACAGATAAGCAAGAAGAGTTGTCCTCTGAGTAAGTAAAAGAATCATGGTGTACTTTTTACCTATGGAGATCAGGTTTGTAAAGGTTTCTGTCATCACATCTCTGTAGAGCTTCTTTTGACTAGAATCCAACAAATCCCACTCTTCAAGGGTGAAGTTCACAGCAACATCCTCAAAGGTTACTGGCTCCTAAAATAATCCACATACTGTAACGGTTAGTGTTAATTGCCAATTTGACAAGTCCAGGCTATTCTGATGGAAAGCTAGAAGAATGCCAGATGGAAGTCGTAAGAGAGAAATACAGACAGGAGGCTTGGTTCATTGAGTCTCAAGAGAGAAACTAGAACTCTACCAGCAACTGAGATAGGTATAACATTCATTTGTTATTTTAGCCAAGAATGTGGTTTAATTCTGTCCATGGCCCGAGAGCCGAAATTTAAAAGTACTGTTGTTTTTTTAAACTTTTCAAAAAATTTTATTTATTTTTATTTTATGTGTATGCATGTATTGCCTGCATGTAGGTAAGTGCACGCGTGTTGTGCAATGCCCACGGAGGTCAGAAGAGGGTGTCGGATCCCCTGGGACTGGAGTTATGGACAGCTGTTAGCTGCCATTTAGGTGCTGGGATTCGAACCCGGGTCTTCTGCAAGACAGTGTTCTTACCACTAAGCCATCTCTCCAGCCCCTAAAGATACTGTTTGACAGAGAAAATAGTATGATCAAGCTTAAAGTATTAGACAAGAATGTAGACAACAAAACAGCTGTAATTGTTAAAAGAGATTAGCACTAGACATTGAGACAATAGGGAGACAGGCAAGGATGGAGAATAGCCTAGGAACATGAGACTCTACTTGATTTGGGCTATGCAAATACACCCCTGTGAACAATGTATCTAGCAACCTGTGGTCAATCTAGGACCTCTATGTGTATCAGGATACAAGTATCGCTGATTTAAACAATGGCATAAAGTCACTCCCCTAAGTAGCATGTTGGTAATACCTATTCACTATTCAAAAACATTTTGGAACACATCCAGGACTATGGGAAATAGGCCGATTTGGCCTGAACTAGTTTTGGGTGCATGCTTAACAAGAAAAAAAAAAAAAAATGTTCTCAAATCTACTTACTATTTTATGCCTATGCACAACTGGACATGCATATGACTAAATTCAAATGTGTTATGGGAAAGGACATGTGCAGTGAACAAAGGCTCTCCATATGCCTGTCCTTCAAAACAGAACCATGGATGATGCTATACCCCTTAGCAACCAATTTCTTCCTTCTTTTGAAATTCATAATAAAAGGAAGCCCAAAATAATGAAGGCCTTTAAACACACTCATGTGGCCACTATCACTTTTTCCAACAGATTTGAATAAGGCTATCTTGCTGTATTTGCAATTCCAAGAACCTAAAAACATCCCTTAGCCCCCAACTACTTGTAAAGTATTTGATAAGTCCAGATAAGGAAGAAAAAAATCCTCCTCTCTAAAAATTTCACTCTTTACTTTCTAGCCCTTTTTTTTTCAATCTGATGTCTGCAGCCGCAATAGCTTACTAATCAGTTTAGTCAAAAAGTCTTCAAGCTGATACCTCCCTGACCTACAAAATGGGGTGGCTGAGGATGCACCTTCTTTGCCAGCTTCTTCACCTAGGATGAAGCTGGTGAAGTCTGTTCTGCACAAGAAACGGAAGTGGAAGAAACGGAAGAGGGGGTTAACAGGTTCCTCTATCCAACCAAAAGCAAGCTAAGATTCCCCTCATTCTTATAATACTTCCTGCTCTACAGAGCAAAAGAACCTAGGTCAAGCAGTCACTTGGAATTTATAAGAAAAGAGTTTCTTTCCCTCTCCTTTTCTCCCACCCCTCTTTTTCTTCATTTTTCCTTTGGTCTTATATGTACCTGAGTAACTTTACTACATTTTGTTACTCTAAAATTAAAACACTATGTTCTCCTGCTTCTATTTAGGATTGTTTCTGCTCTCTGGAATGGAACCTGGATCTGTAGCTGTTTGTATTTTAAAAGTTATTCTCTCCTTTTTCCTTTTACTCCTGTATTTTCTTAGTTTCAAGTACCTAGGTTGTAAATTGTCTATTCCTGAAATTCAAATATTAAGAGCACAATTTATTCTTGTGTTGCAGTTTTGCAACATATAAGTTTGTCTACAGATCTAAGCATGTGATCAAAAGGGAAAAAAACAGACACAAAATGAGGAGGAAGAATCAAATCAACAGGTGCCACCCTAGTAAAGGAGTGGAACAGATTCACAGCAAAGAATTCAATGGCTTAAGCAAGAAGCCCTGCCCTGTAATGAGGCAGTTCTCCCACATTCTAACACTATTTCTGTTCTCTTGACAAAAACCAAACTCTGTAGCTACTTGATTTTAAACGGTTTGTCTTGAAGCTAGAGAGATGGCTAAGCTAAGAGTATCTGTTGCTCTTACAGAGGACCAGAGTTCTTTCCCCAGCACCCATACTGGGTAGTCACAATCATCTGTGCAGCTCTGGGGGATCTGACACTCTCTTTTGGCATCCATGGGAAACCACACTCATGTGCACAGACACAGAGACACATACATAAGCAAAATGAAAAATAAAATGTTTTTTAAAAATATTTTATCTATTTTTATTTTATGTGTATGTGAGTATTACCTGCTTGTATGTAAGTGCACCCATGTCGTGCAATGCCTGTGGAGGACAGAAGAGGCTGTCGGATCCCCTGGAACTGGAGTTATGGACAATTGTTAGCTGCCATATGGGTGCTGGGATTCGAACCCAGGTCTTCTGCAAGAACAGTGTTCTTAACTGCTACACTCTCTCCAGCCCCCGAAAAATAAAATGTTTTAAAAAATCAGATTTTTCTTTTTTCCATTTTCTTTGTGTGTGTGTTTTCTCACATGTGAGTTACAGAGTATCACTGCTTCAGTAGTTTATGTGTGTGCTTGCAAAGACAAGCAGATGACTAAAAGGGGGAAAATAAAACCACCACTCTTTGTGGGCATAGATTAATTATAATGATATAATTACAAGCTCTTATGATATACATTGATTATACATGATATAATTACGAGTTAATATGTTGCTGGCCACACAAAATCTTTAAGAAGTAGATGTGGAAAATGGCTGTTTCCAGCCCCAGAGCTGGAGGAAACTAAGCCATCCCTCCCATGGTATGACTGCTCTCCCACACAGACCACCCCCATCTCTTCCAGGAACCCCCTAATTGGGGACTTCTCCTCCTCTGCCTTTGCTTGACTACTACTTTTATCTTTAAAAACTGATGTGCCAGGCATGGTGGCACAAGCTTTTAATCCCAACACTTGTGGGCAGAGCCAGGTGGATCTCTATGAGACTGAGGCCAGCCTGATCTATACAGCAGAGTTCCAGGCCTGCTGGTGCTATAGGGAAAACCCTGTCTCAAAAAAAAAAAACAAAAACAAAAACAAAAACCAACAAAAATATCTGCTATCTGCCCTAAAAGCTGAACAATGAAGAACCATAGGGGTCTGCCCGTGGCAAGACCATGAAAATGGGCAAATCAGACCCTTTCCGGAGCAAGACAAATCCATACCTTTGTCAGGTCAATATTTGTATGTCCAGTATGATTGACTTTTATCCTGCTTTCTGTAGCTTCACACCTTGTGACTTTTTCAAACATCTTGGGGCTGGACCGATGGCTCAGCAGTTAAGAGCACTGGCTGCTCTTGCAGAGGACCCAGGTTCAGTCCCCAGCACCCACATGGTAGCTTGGGCCACACACATACACTCCTCTCCCGAAAAGGTGCCTAACAGTCTTCTGGCAACCCATCAGGCTACTCATGTACTTGAGTAAAAGAATAAAAATAACACGTCCCACTAAAAAGGGCCTATTTCTATTCAAATGCATTCTAGAACATATCCAAAACTATGGAAACTGGGCCAATCCTGTATGAACTAGTTTGGGTACATGCTCAATAAAGCAAACTGTGCCTTGCAAGTGAACTTTTAGAAGAATCCATTATTTATAATCTTACACCTATGCATACTTGAGTAATTGGAGCTGGAGAGATGGCCCTTACAAAGGATCCAAGTTCAATTCCCAACATTTACAAGGCGGCTAATAGCCATCCGTAACACCAGTTCCAGGAGATCCAACGCCTTCTTCTGACCTCCGGGAGCATTACACTACTCAGGTGCACTTACGTACATGCAGGTAATACACTCATACAGCTAATACACTCATACACATAAAATAAAAATAACAGGTGCCAGGGTGGTGGCGCATGCCTTTAAACCCAGCACTCGGGAAGCAGAGGCAGAGGCAGAGGCAGGTGGATCTCTGTGAGTTCCACCTATGTGGTCTGCATAGCAACTTCCAAGCTAGCTGAACTACAGGGAGACTGTCTCAAAACGACCAAAAATAAATAAGTAAATAAGTAACAGGTGTGGTGCTGTAAACCTAGCCAAATACACACAGCTGGAGAGGTCACTGATCTTAGGGAAAACCATAAAGCTGTCACATCACTAAACAAATGCAATTTTTTACTATGTACAAAATACGGAGCCTTAAATTCAGAGTATGGGTCCCAGAACAGGTCTCCTATATTAAAATCCACTCACGCAGGGCTTAGGGACCATTGTAGATGAGGGGACTGAAAAACTGTAAGAACCAGGGAGGAGGTTCATGACCACAGGGAAATAAGAGTTCTACAGGCTCCTGGGACTCTTCTTATTTGGAATTGACAGCAATGGTGTCATTATCCCCAAGACCCATGCAAACTCAATCAGACAAAAACCCAGCACAGAACTGTGGAAATGGACAGCAAGCCCCAATCTTAGTTGAAGAATTATTAGCAGCAGATTACTGCTGGGTGAGAAAGGCCTGATTTTCTTAAAGGGATGGACTCTAGATAGGTTGACTAGACCTCAGTGGATTAACTTGCACTGAGGGACAACTCAGGACACTAACTAGACATGATAGGCCTTAACACAAATGACAGAATGTATGAATTCCACGGGGGGGGGCGCTATGAAAGGGGGTCAATAGGCAAGGGGGTGTAAAGATGATTAAGATGTTCTGTATGAAATACACAAAAATTCAATAAAGAAATTTTAGAAATAAAATATTTTTTAAAAATTAGATGCAGCCGGGCATGGCAGTGCGCGCCTGTAGTCCCAGTACTTGGGAGACAGAGGCAGGCAGATTTCTGT